GCAGCAGCCGCTGGAGCAGCAGCAGCCGCAGCAGCAGCAGCTGCCGTCTCCTCCTCCTGTCTTGGGTCTTCGGACCCTTGGTCTCCCCTCTCCCTCTCCTTCCTCCTCCCCCTCTCCTCCCGTCTCTGGTCCTCCGCTTCCTCCTCCTGACCCCTCTCCCGCTGTTTTCCCTCGTTCTCAGTCTTCGTTGTCCCCTCCTCCTTCTCAGACTTGGGCCTCTCGTCGCTCCCCTCGTGCTCGTCCCTCGTCTCCTGTTCCCTTCACTGACCTTCGTACTGCCTTACTTCGTTCTAGTCCACCTCGTCCGTCTCCGTCTGTGCTTCCGTCTCCTCCTGAGTCGGCCCTCACTGCGTCGCTCCCTACTCCTGTCACTGACTACTACCGCACGTACCGTCCTCTTCTCTCTCGTGTTCTCGCCTCGCTTGTTACTCACCCTCGTGCCTCTGTGTCCTCTGTGTCTGCTCTTACTGCCGCAGTCACTGACTTTGCCTCTACCCGCCGCCTTGACTTCGCCACCGCTCTTGTGGCTGCTCCTCCTTCCAGTCCTCTGGCCGTCGGGGGTGTGTCTGCCCTTGGCTGTGACGCCCTAGAGGACAGGCAGTTTGAGCTAGAGTTCCTGGTGGCCGCTTCCCCTCATCTCTGTGCCATGCTCCTCGCCCCTGAGGGTGACCCCGACGCTCTTGACATTCCGACTCCTCGCACTTACGCTGAGGCAGTGTCAGGGCCTTGGGCCTCTCAGTGGAGAGCTGCCATGGACGCAGAGATGGCCTCCTACAGATCCACAGGCACCTACGTCGATGAGGTTCCCCCTCCGGGGGCGAACGTAGTCGACGGCATGTGGATCTACAGGGTGAAGCGGCCACCGGGATCTCCTCCGGTCTTCAAGGCGCGCTACGTGGCTAGAGGTTTCAGTCAGCGCGAGGGAGTTGACTTCTTTCAGACCTTCGCGCCCACCCCGAAGATGACCACTCTTCGGGTGTTACTACACGTAGCAGCACAGAGAGACTACGAGTTACACTCTCTCGACTTCTCTACTGCTTTCCTTCAGGGCAGTCTTCACGAGGAGGTCTGGTTGCGTCGTCCCTCTGCCTTCACTGGCTCTTTCCCTCCTGGGACCCAGTGGAGGCTGAGGCGACCGGTTTACGGTCTTCGTCAGGCTCCTCGTGAGTGGCACGACACCCTGCGTTCTACCCTGTCTGACCTTGGGTTCCAGCCGTCTTCTGCTGATTCGTCGCTGTTCGTTCGTCGTGGCCCCACACCTTTCTTTGTTCTGGTCTACGTTGACGACCTTATTTTCGCCACCCCTGACAGGGTTGCTTTAGCACACGTGAAGTCCGAACTGCAGAAGAGACACACCTGCACTGATCTTGGTGAGCTGCGCCACTACCTTGGCCTGCAGATCACCAGGGACAGAGCTGCTCGCACCATTACACTTTCACAGTCGCACATGGTGCAGCAGGTCCTTCAGCGGTTCGGGCTTCAGCACTCCACAGTACAGCGCACACCTCTTGCTGTTGACCACAGACTCACTGGACCCTTTCCTGACGAGCCGTTCGAGCCTAGTGGTCCCTACGCAGAGCTTGTGGGTTGCCTCATGTACCTGATGACTTGTACTCGCCCGGACCTCGCCTTCCCTCTCAGCGTTCTTGCGCGCTTTGTTGCGCCAGGGAGACACCGTCCTGTTCACTGGACAGCAGCTGTGAGGGTGGCGAAGTACCTAGCGACGACGTCAGGCGTGGGGCTAGTTCTTGGAGGGCAGCAGTCTGTCGTACTTACTGGTCACTGTGACTCCTCTTACGCTGACGACGCTGAGACTCACAGGTCTACTCAGGGGTACTGTTTCAGCCTGGGTTCTGGAGCTGTTTCCTGGCGGTCCACGCGCTCCTCTTCGGTCTCGACCTCTACAGCTGAGGCTGAGATCTACGCTGGTGCCATGGCGGCACAGGAGCTGCGTTGGTTGACCTTCTTGCTCACCGACCTTGGTGAGCGGCCGAGCTCTGCACCGACCTTGTTCACTGACAACAAGGCGTCTATTCTCCTTTGTCAATAGCCACGACTGGAGAGCAGAGTGAAGCACATTCACGTCAGGTACTTTCTTCTGCGAGAGTTGCAGAGGCGTGGACAGGCTCGCTTTGAGTTTGTGGAGTCCGAGGCCAACACTGCAGACATCTTCACCAAGGCGCTTCCGCCTTGTGACCACCAGAGGTGCTGTGTGCAGTTAGGCCTTGTTGACACTGGTTCTCGTGTTGCTTAGACTTGAGTGTACTGTTTACTTTGCTTTCTATATATCTCTGTTACTTCTTGGACTGGCCTTGTGGCCACTGTTGTTTGTGCTCAGACTGTGTGGTGACGTTGTGATCCACCCTGAGCTTCGTTTCTTGGACTGGTCTTGTGACCGTACTCGTTTGGTTCTGCTAGACACCCCTCACTTAGGCTATGGGGGTGTGTCAAATGTTGTAGCCTATAGTGAGGTTTGTCTTAGGGGGTACAAAACTTAGGGTTAGCTATATTGTCAAGATAGGGACGTATGAGTTTAGGAGGGCCTAGGCTAAGGAGCCTAGGCCAAGGGGTGTCGAGGGAGTTGTGCCAAGAGAGTTACGAGAAAGAAGGAGGGCTTCACTATAGCACACAAGGTACATATAGCAAAGCAACAAAGAAGGTGCACCACCAACTCTTAATAATAATAACTACAGTAACTACAGCACTCAGGGTATATATTAAACATATTGTTTGACACACCCCCTTAGCCTGCGTGCGGTAGAAACTGGTGCAGCCAGCACCCCCTGAACGAGCAAACCAAGCGCTGTGGAAGAAGGCAGAGAAGTGAGGAAGGTGAGAGGAGAGGAGAGAAGAGGAGAGGAGAGGAGAGGAGGTGGGGGGCCAGGACCGGCGGACCCGCTTACGAACCTCCTTTTACAAAGGGGAGGTGAGAGAGGGAAGGGAGAGGAGGTGGGCTAGGCGGGCTTGAGCGCGAAAGCTCATAGCGATCCCCCCCCGTTAAGAACCCCCGAGTCCCGATGAGGAGAGGAGGTGGGCTAGGCGGGCATGAGCGCGCACGCTCATTGCGATCCCCCCCCGTTAAGAACCCCTTAGTCCTCACCCCCCTCGTCACTCAACCCCGTCAACCTCACACCTTCCGCACCTGTCTTCTCCCGCCACCCCCTCACCCTTCTGCACTTCTCTCCCCCCCCCCCCCCCCTACAGCAACAGTTGCTGCAGGGAGAGAGGAAGAGGGAAGGGAGGGAGGAGTGGCAGGCTCCTCACACCCGCCCCCTCCCCACAACCCCTTCCCCCTCCCTCCCCCCTCCCCACGACGGAAGCCGCGGAAGGGAGGGCGGGGGGGGTGGGGCGGCGGTAGCTGCTGCTGGCGCTGGCGGCTGGCCGCGGCGCTGGCCTCCGCGCTGGCGGATTGCGGGGTGACGGGGGCGACGAAACGGGGGCCGCGTGGCGACGAAATGGGGGCCGCGTGGCGACGAAACGGGGGGGCAGCGGGCGACGGGCAGGGCGTCCGCGGGGCAGCCGATGGGGCGTCCGCGAGGCAGCCGACGTGGCACGTTCGGGGGGACGGGCAGGGCGCGCGCGACGGGCGAACGGGGAGAAAAAAAAAAAGCGCATTTCGCGCTGTAGTACGGGCGGGCCCATGATTCTTAAAAAAAAAAAGAGAAGGTTCCGGGAAAGAACCAGCTCTGTACCATGTCAAGATAGGGACGTATGAGTTTAGGAGGGCCTAGGCTTAGGAGCCTAGGCCAAGGGGTGTCGAGGGAGTTGTGCCAAGAGAGTTACGAGAAAGAAGGAGGGCTTCACTATAGCACACAAGGTACATATAGCAAAGCAACAAAGAAGGTGCACCACCAACTCTTAATAATAATAACTACAGTAACTACAGCACGCAGGGTATATATTAAACATATTGTTTGACATATATGTACCCCAACCAACATCAATGCATCATCCATTCTTCATTCTGACAGTAACAAACACCTGGGGCGTCCACTGTAGATACAATGACTATGGTTGTGGCGTGATCGATTTAGGGGCACCCACCCTTAAATACCCCCGTAATAAGAATTTAAATGTCTAATCCAAAGTTCAGTATTCGATGTGGATGGGGCACGAGAAGATGGTAGTGTTCAGCAACCTCATAGGCCACCGCGAGACAAATTCGGGGACTACCACGTAATGCTCTCTGTAGGTGTTTCCCCAGATTTTATTCTGCGGGTGACCATCACGGCGGGGATGTTTTCGTGACCAAAGTGGTCGCACGTACGGTCGCTTGGTTTGGGCGTTTGCTGAATCGGTCGTTATCGTGGTCATTTGGCGGGAAAATATCGCATCCCTCGCCATCGTGTTACTCCCTTCGCATTCGCACACCCCAAACAAATGGTCGGATTTTTGCTTCGGTCATCGCAATGTTACACGCCCTTATTGAGGGCTAAACCCGGTTCGTTTTATGCGGTGGAGAACGTTAAAAAAGCGATCAAATAAGGTTAGCTCTGGTCGAAACTCAGAGTCGTCTTTAACCCCTCTCAAAATCACCGAACCACATTGAACGTGTCAGATTCATTTAAACGTGACCCGCCCTGAGTGATGTGTAACATTGCTCAGCGGTGGTTAGAAAATGGATCGCAAAAGCATCCTCGCTTTGTTTCATCCTCAACCCGCTTGGCTAGGGACATAGTATGCAATATTGGTTACTACTGAACTCAATACTCCACAAAAAAATCAGCCCACCAGAGGAAGCCGAAGACGGTAAATATAATGCAAATAACTATGAAAAGTGAAACCAGCTGCGGTCACTTCAACCGACGAATGTCGGAGCAGTCCCAGCCAGGCCTTTTCTAGGGCAACCACTTATTGATTTATTCAATTTTCATGGCTTAGGGCAGCAAGAAGTTCCCCGAGATGTACGGGTATGGTAATTTGTGAGCCAATGGGAGGAGTTGGCCCACGATTCACGATGGAGACAGCTGCGTCGTACCCGCACACCCAAATCAGGTATTTCAGCAACTGTTGCTCAATCCGTTATTATCACCACTCATCATGTTCACGAACTCCGAGAAGCACACTCGGCCATCCCCGTCCGCGTCAACCCTGCGAATCATCCTCTCGCATTCCGCCAATGACACGTCTCCATCGTCGTTATCTTCGCCAGCACCAATTCGCAAAAGCATCTCGCGAAGTTCGTCAGGCGTGATGTAACCGTCGCCGTTTTTGTCGAACGAACGAAACGCTGCGAGGAGATCGTCCATCGATGCGGAGTCAGAATCGGGCGAATCCACGACCGCCATGTCAGCGTCGCCAGCCGAAGCCAAGCAAATCTCGCCAGCCCCAGCCTCGTTTCCGTAACGAGGAATTTCCAATTCTTCCATGCTGCTTCCGCGACTGCCCGTGCTGCCGCTCCTCCCGCTGCTAATCCGTGAGCCTGCGGCAACGCGACCAGAACCAGTAACGCCAACACAAGCTTTGTTCACGGCGAGAAATTCGTTAAAGTCAACGAAGCCGTCACCGTCAGTGTCTGCTTGTGCCATCATCCTTCGCGCCATGTCGTCCGGTCGTGTTTCGCCAAGGCTCGCAAGAACTGAGGCCAACTCAACGGTTGAGATTCGCCCGTCGCGGTCCCGGTCCATAAGATTGAACACGTGGCGGATATCGACGGCAGAAACGCCGTGAATCATGTCGATGAACGGTCTAGATGGTTGCGCGGATGTCCACCCAGTCGTGGTTGTAAAAGCGGCCTTGATATCAACCATGGTAGTGCTCAGAAAGCCTGCCTTTCTGAACGAAATCGTTGGCAAAAAAAAAAAGGACTCTAGAAGAACAAACGAGAAAGGATGACGAAGTTGGAACCGAAAGACGGAAGCGAGTTAAGGTGTGACAGAATAGCGATACTCTGAGGGAGCTATTGTCAGATTGCGTTTGGCCGTCACTTGCGGAAAGAAAATGGGATTGAAGAGGAGGTGGGGTGCATTTGTGGGACAGAATTGCGCGTTCGGGAGGCGGTGACGCAGCGCCAGTGACGCATTTCCTTCCACCAAGGAAGGCGAAGGTGGGGCTGAGGGTTAGACGGGGGGAGGGGCTGAAGGAGGTGCTGGATTGGATGTGGCGGGGTGGTTCTGGTATGGAGGCAACGATATTGGTGCTAACATAAAGTAAAAATATTTTCTTGCGAGTATTCATAATATTTCCCAGTCCCACATTCTGAATGCATTACTTGTTCAAATCTCTGTATCAGGAGGCACAAACCAGTGCATTTTGAGAAATTTATTTTCTGGGTGGTGCGCATTGCATCTGCTAGGCATTTGTAGAACCAGCACTCACAATTCTGGGCACTGGCCAATGGGCAGCCCCCACCACCGCGCATCACACCGCGTCAATCCCGACATCAGCTTTGATTTGCATTCAGCCGTTCAGATCAGAGGATCGACGGCATATAGTTTGCCATTTTATGACGTCAGTCTGTTCGATTCTTCCCGCGTGCTCCTCGGATTGGTAGCACCCGCCTTCCCACCTAGCCCCGTCCCTCCCCCATTTCCCCTTCCCCTCCTCTCTTCACCGCTTTCACACAACCAAATCACTCCCCACCCTCACCTTCCCCAGCAGTACGCTGCGGTTCCCTTCCCTCCATCCACCCACCGCAACTCACCTTCGGCCCCACCTTCGTTACTGTTCACGAGTCGTGACAGCACAGAAGGATGTGTCACTCTGTACAAGATAGAAGACGACAAGAAGCCGGTAAGCTTTCCACCCAATCAGCTCAGTCGGGCATGCACAAGCAGGTCACAAAAAACCGTTACCTTTGCTCACTTCACATGAGCCAAGACCTGAGAATGCGCTTGGCAGTTTTGCCAGCGAGCAGCGACTGAAGCACCAAAAACAGCTCCGATAATCGTTAAATTTCAGCAGTGTCATGGAATCGCAACGATTCGAAGCGTATGAATGAATATACACAGCAGGTAATCATGCATGCCTGACCCTTGGCTTTATTCAAATCTTCCTGAAATTCATAGGAGAGTCAGCTGTTTCTGACAAGATCATGCACTATAACCTTGGGCAACCAACTCATAATGTTCACTAATGAGGTACAATTCATGGGTTTCCCACATCCACAACCAACCCTGTGCCATGAACAAAAACATTATGACGGGATAAAGTTTTCCACTTGGCCCAACCTGAGAAGGTATATCCCTGGGCCGTTGATAGTATAGTTACCCCCGAGGGGTGGACTGTTGTGGGTCAGGTGGAAAAGAGAGATGAACAAAGAGCACATAGGCACACACACGCACACATGCACAGACACATGCTCGTCAGATTTGTGAATGGCATGGCAAGGCAACACCCACTTGCTCTTGCTCCCATTTATCTCACCCTAAACTCAACCCCCTCCCAACAGTCACCCATCCATCCACCCCTTCATCCCACCACCACCCGCCCTCCCGCCAATGCATCCCACCACCACCCGCCCTCCCGCCAATGCATCCCACCACCACCCGCCCTCCCGCCAATGCATCCCACCACCACTCATCCACCCACCTGGCCATCATCTACCCAGAACCCACCTGTCCCAGTCCGTGCCCCCGTTGTTGGTGACGAATTCCATTGCAGTCACTGGCAGGGTGATCACCTGGGAACGGGGCAGAGGGTGGGAAGTGGGAAGCAAGCAATGAGGGAGACAGCGGCTCCATTGTTGGACAGAACAATCACAGCAGTAAATGTTTTCATTCGAGAAGCCCTCACCTGGTGAAGCCCTCTCTTCGACCTATGGATGCTCTTGCATAAAAAAGTTTCCAGCTTGTCCTCTGAGAAACTCTCACATCTGAGAAACTCACATATGAGAAACTCTCACCTTGAGAAACTCTCACCTTGAGAAACTCACCTTGAGAAACTCTAACCTCTGAGAAACTCTTACCTTGAGGGGCAGTCCATTCAAGCCAATGAGAGGCGAGTCGTCCATTCTCAACCCCGGCACATCAGTCCAAACCGCACCATCCGCACAGAAGTGCACAAACACGTCCTGCCACCCTGTCTCGTAGTACAGCGTCACTCCTGCCGCCCGCTCCTTCTCCGCCGCCGCCCCATCCGCTTGCTCCCCTTGTCCCTCCTGCCCTTCAAATTCCTCTCCTTGTGCCTCTTGTTCTTCCTTTGAAGCCCCCTCAGAAGATGACAAAGACAGCGAGTCGGGATCTTCACTTACGGTACTCTCTTGCACCTCTTCTGGCCTGCTGCTCTCCAGCTCTCCATGCTCCGGCTCTACTTGCTCCTCCTCAACCACTACCCCACCCTCCTCTGCCGAATCACTGCCCTTCCCCCCACTGCACTTGCCTCTTCTACAGCCTCCCTTCTTTCCTCACCATCTCCATTCTCCTCTCCATGCTCCTCTGCTTCCCTCTCTTCCTTCTCCCTCTCCTCTTCTACGTCCCTCTCTTTCTCCTCCTCCTCCTCGACCCCCCTCTCCTGCTCCTCCTCAGCTGCTCCCTCACTCTCACCCGCGCCTTGTGCCACACCACCATCCCACGTTTGACTGCTACTCTCCTCAGACCCCCCCCCACTCCCACCCTCCTCGTCCTTACCCCCCTCTCGCCTCTCCCCACTTTCCTCTTGCATCCCCTCCTCCCCCCCACCTGGTTGCCCACGCTCAGGTTCACTCAACCCCCCACTCCCCTCCTCTCCGCTCGTCTCCTCCACCCCACCTGCCCCCTCCTCTCCTACCTCACTGCCACCTATCTGCACGTCAGCGTCTTCTCGTGATTGGCCCGCGTCAGCCTTCTCTTCTGCCTGGTCAACGTCATCTCCCTGTGGAACAGGGATCTCTACTGCCCCTGCTTCCCTCTCACTCTCGCTCTTCCCCTCCTTCTCACTCACTTCCTCTCCATCCTCCTCTTCTACTACCCCCTCCTTCCCCCTCTCCTCCTCAAGCAATCTCCGCCTCTCCCTCTCCTCCGCCTCCCTAGCCGCCTCCTCCTCCTCCTCAACCTTCCTCCTCTCTTCCTGCTCCCTCCTCTCCTCACCAAGCTCCACTAGCCGCCCATCCTCCCTCTCCTCATACACACTCCACTCCCCCGGTGGACCCTCCTTCCACCACCCAGCCCTCACACTCACTACACCACCCTCTCCCTCCTCTCCCTCCACTCCCCCTTCTCCCACCTCAATCCTCACTCCCTCCCGCCCTTCCCCGTCCTCCTTCCTCCCCGCCTGCCCCGCCTTCCAGTCTCTCTCCCCTCTTTCCCCAGCCCCTTTCCCGCCCTCCCACCCAGCCATCTCCTTTTCCATAAGCTTCCTCCCCTGCCTAGTCCACGTCTCCACATCAAAGACAAGCTCCTCCAATAGCTGAACCCCCAGCTCCACCTTTCCACCAATCAGCGCGCCCCGGATCTCCATCAGCCCGCCCAGCAACCCCTCCAGCTTCTGCTGCATCATCTCCAGCCGCCACGTCAGCATCTGCGCCCGGATCTCGATCGACTTCTTGTCCTTTCTCAGCTTCGCGATTTCGCACCCTAACACGTCAGCTACGCGCTCTAGCCGCACGGAAGTGGCCTGCTCCGCCTCCTCCGCGCGCGCTACAGCCGCCTCTAGGGATAAGATCCTCATCATCGCGTCTGTCAGGCTCATGCCACGTGTCATCGCCTCCACAGGCGCCGTCAACGAGGCGCCGCCCACAAAACTCATGCTATCGCCCACACCTCGTCGTCCTTCCCCCGCGTCCCCTACCATTTCTACCGCTGCCCCAGCCGCTCCCGCTGCCCCCCCCGCTCCCCCCGCTTCCCCCCCGTCGCTCCGCCCTGCTCCCGCTCCCCCGAGTGTGCCTTTCCTGACGAGCGCATCTAACGTGGCGACCATGGCGGCGCGCTCCTTCTCCCACTCCTCGCGCCGCAAGCGCAGCTCCGTGTCTTTGATCTCCAGCTGCGCTAGCAGCTGCTTTGTGCGCCTGCGCGCGCGCACCAGCTCCGTCTGCACGTTCCCCACCGCCGCGCCCACCACTGCTTGCACGTCGTCCACTGAGAGGCGCCCGCGGATCGAAGCTGCCAACTCGTCCGCCTGAAACGAGGAGGTTGGGAGGAGGGTATGCAGATGGAGGGACGAGGATGGAGGGATGCGGAAGGAGGGATGCGGAAGGAGGAGCCACGTGTGATGAGGTTGTTTTTGAGACGTCTCAAAAACAACCTCATCACACGAGGATGGAGGGATGCGGGAGGAGTGATGTGGAAGGAGGATCAGGATGTGTAATGTGGAAAGAAATTAGAAACAGTGAGGTTTTGTTCCCGCGCCCACCACTGCTAGGGGCAGGGGGTGCGGAAGGAGGGTGCGGAAGCAATGAGGGACAGCTGGAGTTTGTCACCGCGCTCAACTCTGACAGCATGTCTTTTGCGGAGCGGAAGGAACGAGGGAGGGACAGTCAGTGTTTGTCATCGCGCCCACCACTGCACTACACCCCCTATCCCCCCCTCACCTCCTTCCCCACACACTCCATTTCCCTGTCCCCCTTTTCCAGTCCCCCTTTGCCTGTACTCCCATTTTCTGTCCCCACGATTGTCTTATCTTCCCCCTTCCCCCCCAACCTCCCCCGCCCCGCTCACCTTGCTCTGCAGCCAGCGGCTCTCCTCCTCCAGCGCCTCGTCCGCCGCCTCTAGCAGCGACCCCTTGGCGCGCACCTCCCCCACCAGCCGCGCCAGACTGCTCCCCCTTCCCTCATCGCCCGCGCCCCCTGCCCCTTCCCCCGCTTCCCCCACACCCGCTTTCTCCTTCGTGTAAGGGGGGGATTTGGCAGAGGCGGAGGGAGCTGTGGCGGAAGCGGAAGCGACGGAGGGGGGAGGGGCGGAAGGGGAAGTGGCGGAGGGGGAAGAGGCGGAAGGGGAGGCTCGAGAGGAGGGGAGCGTGGGGGACGAGCGGGAGGCGCGGGAGGGGGGAGGGGAGAGGAGGGCGCGGAAGGCTTGGGAGAGGCGGTCGGAGAGGCGCGCCCAGAGGGAGGGGAGGGAGGCAGCGGCGGCGGCGTTGGGGGCTGAAGAAGACGATTGCTCTGATGATGGCGACGGTGGTGGTGGTGTGGTGAATGGTGCTGAGGACGCAGGCGCTGATAGTCCCAGCTGCGAGGCGTTGGCTTCCATATCAGTGGCCATAGAGGATATCTGTGAAGGGGAGCAGAGAACGAGGGAGAGGATGAAGAAGGGGGTAGTGGGGGAAATCAAGGGGGGAGAGCGGAGAGACTTTTGAGTCGACTGAAAAGTCGTCTCGTTACAATGGCACACGGGGATCAGAGAACGAGGGAGAAGATGAAGAATGGGGTAGTGGGGGAAATCAAGATGCTGTAAATCGTTTTTGAGAATTCTCAAAAACAATCTGGCAAGGGGATCAAAGAACGAGGGGGGAAATCAAGGGGGGAGAGCGGAGAGTGGAGTAGGCAATGTTAGTCCCGATCGTGACGCGCTCGCTTCCATATCAGTGGCCATAGAGGAGAGCTGCCAATGGAACAAGGAGGGGAGAGGGCGGGGGGAGGATCTGAGTCGACTCAAAAAGGAAAAAGACGGGAATAGGCGCTGTTAGTAGTCCCAGCTGCGAGGCGCTCGCTTCCTTATCAGTGGCCATAGTGGAGAGCTGCCGAGGGGAAGGGGGAACGAGGGGAGAATGAGAAACAGAAAAAACTGCCCCTGAAGCGCGGCTTTGAGTTTATGGTCGTTTTTGAGGCGCCTCAAAAACGGGAACGAGGGAAGAATGAGAAACAGCAAAAAAACTGCCCCTGAAGCGAGGCTTTGAGTTAATCCAAAGCTTCTCTGGAAACCCGTACACCCATCCGTAGACCCGTAACCCGTACAAAAAACGACTGGTGAAGGGGCTAAAAAAGAGCCTCATTTCCTAAAGAGAAGGATCCGAGAAGCACCACGTTTCCATGGAGTTGATTTCTTAGGCACCTCCTGAAGGAACTAGAACGAATTCTTTGAGGCGTCACAAAATCCGCTCAACTAGTCGAGCATGAAAGATCTATTTAAAGACTCCACAATCTTGAAAATAAGAGGTTTTTTTTTTTACAGATATGACAAACAGCGAACACGACGTGGACTTGTTGACTGGCTGACTGAATGACTGGCCGACTGGCTGACTGACGGCCGGCTGGCTGGCTGACGGCTAGCTGGCTGATAGACCGGCTGGCTGACTGAGTGACTGAACGACTGGTTGGCTGGTTGAATGACCGGCTCATTGATTGACTCGCTGACTGACTGACTGACTGACTGACTGACTGGCTGGTTGGTTGGCTGAATGGATGGCTGACTGACCGGAAGTGACTGGCTGGCTGACCAAAGGATCGGCTGACTTACTGACTGCCTGGCTGGCTGACTGGCTGGCGGACTGACCGGCTGGCGACTCGACTGACTCGCTCGCTGGCTTGCATGGATGACTGGCTGACTGGCTGGCTGACGCACCATCTGACTGACTTACTGACTGGCTGGCTGGCTGACTCGCTCACTGGCTTCTTGCCTGGCTGACTGCCTGGCTGACTGACTGCCTGACCTGATCGCGCAATCGGCGCCGAATCTCCGTCATAGAGCGAGAGTCGGAGGACGGGAGGAAGGGAGGAACGAGGGAGGAAGGAGGAGGAGCACCTCGCGAGCATTGTCCCTCGACTTCCAAACTCCAGACTTCCAAACTCCAACCAAACCACCTCCCTTCACGTTTTCCAATCCCTCCTTCCACTGACCTGTTCCTGCACTCGGCGCCGAATCTCTGTCATGGAGCGAGAGTCGGAGGACGACCGAGGCTGGAGGGTAAATGGCGATTGGAGGGCAGGGTTGCGAGACGCACACACACACAGAGATGAATGGGGGTGAACGAGAACAGGGGAACACGGATGAAGTTGGCGCGTGTTCAGCATGGGAGTACGGGCAATGTAAGGACGCCCGTACAAGTCAACTGCAGCACAGCAGCGCAACAGCGCAGGTATGGTCAGCGAATAGCAGACGAACCACAGGAAAAAGGGGGAGAAAGCAAGCGAAACGCGTCCACGAAATCAGCTACTTGCCACAGATCGGAACTTCTGCGTTGAAGCTGACGAGTCTTCATCCTCGCGCTCCTTCGACGAAGGAGAGGCCGAAGAGGACGACGAGGTTGGAAAGGAATACGTGGAAAAGGAAAAGGTCGAAAAAGGGCCAGCCGCAGCCGGGCGATCGCCAGCGACGACCTCGGGCTCCTGCGACGACGACTCAAGAGGCTCCTGCGACGAGAGGGCGTCGTGGACGAAATACGGCGACGGGAGGATGGAGGAGGAGGAGGCGGAACGCAAGGGGGGTTGTGACTGCGTCTGCGACTGCGACGATTGCGAACGAGACGGCGACGACGGCGGTGATGTCGACGGCGACGGCGGTGAGTCGGAGAGATAGGAGGGAAGAGAGAGGCGGATAATGTTGTGGACGGAGTTGAAATCCCGTCGCAGGGCTTTAAGATTCGATGCTATCTGAACCGGCACGCGACCGGACGACATGGATCCTTGCGACGCCATAACCTGGAGGGCTTGCGCTCGCTCCACTAAGTGATCGACACGTGCTCGTATTTCATTGGCTGGCCGAAGCGGCGTGGGCTGCTGATTGGAGGACGAGTCTACTGAGCCTCCGCTGCTGTCGCTGTGTTCGGGCTGTTGCGACTTTTCGAACCGTCGGCCACCACTAGATGGGCCGGCGGACGACAATTGCGACCAATGCGACGCCTGCGACGATTGCGACAGCTCGTTCCTACGGATCTGCTTCTGAAGCTGCTTGATCGATTTCGCCAAATCATCAATCTCTTGCCGCGCCTGATCCACCGCCGACGCCGGAGGCCCTGCCACGTCAGCTCGTATGGATCGGAGAACGGGAGATCCTGACTGAACGGAAAAAGATGACGGTAATCGGAGAGTTCCCGTCAGCCTACCGTTCCGTAACCAGCGGCGTTTGGACGGCGAGGATGCGTCCGTTGCTAAGGAAATCGCCCGTTGATCTACCGCAACGTGGCTCTTATGGGTATGGCTCTGCCATGCCGTGACGCCAGGAGCGCGATAACCAGATCGCAGCGTCGGGCAGGAGATCAACCAATGCTGTGCCGCCATCGTGGATAAGCCGGGGCGACGGAAAGGGGTTCAAGAATCAACTCGCATTAGTCGAGAACCAGCGCGATGGAATCTCGACGCTGTTTAGAATCCACAGCTTTGAAGAGAGCGGATTGGAAGGGGCAACACAAAGGCCGACTACTGAATTCTACGTGTAATCATTCCGCGAAAACAGAGAAACCCTGGCACGAGAAAGGGGAGCAGCTAACGAAAAGGCACGACTTGAGCATTGAGGGATCGATAATAATGGACGATTCAAAAGTCGATTAGGTAGCTCAGGTCACGGTTCTGGGCGAAGCTTGGACACCATCAACCAAAATTCTGGCTCGAGTCGAGGTGGTGGGAGGGAAATGAGCAAGGCAGGACATTTCGATCAAGACTACTCATTCTACTTCGCCCCTGATTTGCAACGGTCTAAAGCGGTGAATATTAAGCACCGTAATTGAGCGTGAATCGCCGCATTGAACCGTGCTTTACGAACGTTTACGAGTTTCTTTGAATGCCAATATTGCGATGAGTCAGCATGACCCAAGTTGTAATGGCCTTGCGGATTAGGGGTTGGGAGCAACAAACGGAAGGAGCGGTGGAGGGTGGAGGACAGAGGATTCAGGGGATAGGCGGGAAACATGGGTGGCCAGAATTTGTCCGTTTGGAGCCACGTCGACAGACTCAAGGTGCTCTGGGGCGCGCGATGAACGGTGGAGAACGAGCGACGAGAGAATCCAGATTAAGTGCGCAATATGGGAGTATCTGGGGCAACGGCCGCCAGCTGGTCCTGGAAAGTGCCACTTGTGCGCTGGCTTGATTGGATCTTTTCGCACGAATCAAACAGCACCTCTAAGGGGTTTGGCAGATTGTCAGAGAGCAAAATCTACGGTGTTGATTGAAGTGAAGTGGTCAATTTTGCATAAACACGTGCGAGCAATTCAAACATTCTTCATATATTGTTTCCAAAAAAAGTTTAGCATACACAAACCACTTACTGTAGTTGTGGGCCAGCAGTCAACCAATCTCAACTACCTACGACTCATGCTCTTGTGTGGAAAACTCTGGCTCGCACAGCCACATGGTGAAGCCCACGCAGGAAAACAAACATAACCAAACCAAAACAAAACTTATGGGCTACGTGATGCGAAGATGACACAGCCTCCGGCAATCATATAGCAACTAAGCAGATGCTGCAACAAAATTGGATGTGGAGGAGATGCCATTAGAGCAGCCCCCTCCACCGTGGTTAGACTGCACTGAAGCAGCAGCAGCACCGGCGCCACCAGCACCACCACTACCAATGCCGCTGGCACCACCGGTACCAGTAAGAGGCGGCTTCATGGAGGGGGAGCGAGTGAGAGGAGGAGCACATCCCTTGGATGATCCTCCTATCAGCACACCGCCGTCCGCCACAGCTGGCAGCAAGGACCCTCCTGCAGGAGCAGCAACGACAGCAGCAGAAGCAGCAGGAGAAGCAGCAGGACCAGGAACGGCTGCATTGGCAGCAGCAGCAGCAGTGGGAGCAGAAGCAACAGCAGCAGTTCCAGCAGCAGTTGACCCCAAATCCAGAGCCACTAGCGGCTTTGCATCCGGGGCAACTCCGCTCTCCACTGCACTCTCTTCATGTGCCTCAAACCCCGCGTGCACCCGCAGCAGCTCGCACTCCAATCGCACCACATCCATCTCTGGTTCAAACCCCTCGGGATTGTCGGGGAGATCAACCCTCCCCGACCCTGATTCAAGGCTGGGGCTCCCTGCGTTGAAGCCGGTTGCACCCGGGGTGAGGAGGGGCGGCAGGAGGATGGACTCAGCACCGTGTGCAGCGCACGAGCTCACCAGCAACAGGCAGTCTGCGTCGCCACGGCTCGACCGCAGCGGGAGCGGAGCAGCTTCTAACGAAGCGGCTTGTAGAGAAGCAGGTTCGGTGGGGAGGAGGATGGACTCGGATGTTAGTGCGCCGGAATACACAGGGCACAGCGCCGAGTGGTCTGCTGCTGGGGCTGCTGCTGGGGTTGCTGCGGAGATTGCCATACCACCTCTCTTGACAGTGGCGGCAACTGGCGCAAGGAGAGCAGCAGGTGCAGAGGCTGCTGCAGGGACACCAGCAGAAACGGCAACAGCGGTGGCAGCAGTGCCAGCGGCACCAGTGGCAGTGGCAGCAGCGGCAGCAGAGCAGTCAGCCTCGTTACTGACTGCTGCCACCACAACAGGGGTCACAGGGACTGGAGAGGAAAGCTTGGCATCAGGTGCCAGCTCAGGTGAAACAACAGGTACGTTCACAGCCGCTTCTCCTGTCACCGACTTCCCTGCGTGGGAATTGGTTTCAAGAGGGAGCTGCGAGGCCACAGCCACAGCTACAGCCACTGCTTCAGTTCCCTGGATCGAGCCATCGGGCAAAAACTGCTGCTGCTGCTGCTCCTTCTGTTGCTTCTGTGACAAGTCCGGCTTTAACTCATGCACTGCCTGAATCCCATTTAGCACCTCACCCTCCACAAGGCCACTGGAAGGCTTCCCTGTAGCCCCACTAGCTGTCTTGACTGTAACGCCACTAGCCGGCTTGACAGTGGCAACACTCACGGGCTTGCCCCTGCTCCCTCCCCCATGCCCGGGCACTTTCCTCAGCGAGAATCGCACCTTCACTCCTCCGCCCAGGCTTGCACCAGAGGAAGCCGCAGCCACAGCACCAGCAGCAGCAGCAGCAGCGCCACCAGCACCAGCACTGGCAGCAGCAACAGCAGAAGCAGCAGAAGCAGCGTCACCAGCAACAGCAGCAGCAGCAGCAGCAGAAGCGGCAGTAGGAATGTCTTCATGTCTTGTTTTCTTCCCGCCTCCCTTACCTCCTCCCCCCTTGCACCCAGCCACCTTGCTACCAGCTCCAAACCGCTGTGCCCCTCCCTGTTCCTCCTTGCTCCCTGCTCCCCTGCACCCACCTCTTTTGTTCACACTGCCCTTGCTCTCCCCTCCCCTCTTCGCACTCTTCGTGCTGGTAGGGAAGAGGGAAGTTACGACCTGCACCACCAGTGGTCCTTCCATCTCTCCCCTCCTCACATCCCTCCGCACCCGCAGCCGCCCACCCTTGCCCAATGCAAATAGTGCCACCTCCTTTACAGACACATCCTTCATAGTCACATCGGCGAGCCTGCTTTTCTTTCCTAAATGACCGACACTACCAATCGTACTCTCACTACAATCAGGTCCCTCAATAACGCGTCTCTTTTTCCAACCCTTACTCTCTCTCTCCCCCTCGTTGCCGCTTCCCTTGCCCTTCCCCCCCTTGCTGCTTTCCTCTTTGCCCCTCCCCTCCTTGCCTTTCCCCACCGAGTCTTTCCCTTCCCTTTCCTCCCCCTGCATCCCTTCCCCCCGTTCCAGTTGCTTCCCCAACCTCCTTACATTCCCCTTCCGCCCGCCCGCCCTCTCCGCCTCCGCCTCCTCCTCCCCCGCCCACTCCCCTTCTCCTCCTCCTCCTTTTCTCTCAATAGCATTTGCCGCCCTTGCTTGGTCCAGACCTTTCTGATTAGGACCGGTGGTTTTCAGTCTCTTCACAGACGCAGAAAGCACCGTCCCCAGTTGCTCCTGTCCGTGTTCCCGTCCTTTCCGCTCCGCCTCCCCTTTCCCCTCCACCTGCCCCACCCGCTTCCCCGCGACCTGCTCCCCCGCCTGCCCCAGCCTGTGCCTCCCGCCCCTACCTACACCGAACCTCTGCTGTCGCCCCTGGCCCTTGCCAAGCCTCTGCAGCCGCTTCGGTCCTTTCCACTCCCTCTCCCCCCTCTCCCTCCACTCCTCTCTCTCCTCCCACTCTTCCTCCATCTCTTCCTCCTCTCCCTCCTCATCATCCTCCCCTTCCTCCTCCCACTCCCTCCTCCCCTCCTCCTCTTCCTCCTCTTCCACCACTCGCGTTCTCCTCCTCCCTCCTCCCTTCTTATACTGGCACCGATACTCAAAGAAAGGAGACAACAACCCTCCTTCCGTCCCCTTAAACCCTGCCACCCCTGCCTCACTCCCTTCCCCGGTCAAACCCCCATCATCCCCCTCACTCCCCTCATCCCCCTCACTCCCCTCATCCCCCTCACTCCCCTCATCCCCCTCACTCCCCTCATCCCCCTCACTTACCCCCTCACTAGCTGCTCCCCTTTCTTCTTTCACCTCTCTCACCTTCCCTTTCGTCTTCTCCTCCTCCCTCGCCCTCCCCTCCCCTCCCACTCCCATTCCCCCTCCCTCCCCCTCTTCCCCCTCCTCCTCAACCCCGTCCCCGACCCGCCGCAGCTGCTGCCACGTGGCGAGCACAGACCGCCGCATCTCCACGATCCGACGGTGGGAATTCGAGTGCTTTTCCGCCACATACTCGGGGGAGTTAGCAGGCCTATACTCCGCGCACAGTCTCCCCGACTTGTAGCGGACTCCGCACGCGTTGCAGAGGGTTTTAGGCCCGTACGGCCCGGCTCGCCACTGGGGGGTTTTTGTCACGGAGCAGTGCAGGCAGCGCCGCACAACACCACCAGCAGCAGCAGCACCACCGCTCGCCGCCGCTGCTCCCGCTGCTGCTGCAGAAGAATCGCCAGCAGCAGCAGCAGCAGCAGCGGCAGCAGAGGAAGTACCGTCAGCAGTAGCGCCAGTGGAAGCAGAGGGGGTAGCAGGGCTTTTCACCGCCCCTGGTGGTGCAGTCGCCAGGTTACCACCAGTATCAATCTCGCCAGCCAATGACGAAGCCCCAGAAAGACTAGGAAGAGCTGACGACAGGGAGCCGCTTAGTGCCCCATCTGCCCCCGAATCTATGCCCGCTGCGGCCTTCACAATGCCATTCGCCGCGACCGCGCTTTCGGGCAGCTGGAAAACAGACTCCACCTGCCCGCAAAACAAATCTGGCCCGTAAGAAACGGTGCTGGCGCTCCGGTCTGAGCTTGAGACAGACAGCCGCGAGAGAGGGGATGGCTTGTGGCGTTTTGTCGCATTCAGCCTTCCAGACGCTTCGGCAGCAGAGCCAGCAGCGCCAGCAGCAGCAGCAGCAGCCGAGCGACCATGCGGGGGGGACGACAGGATAGGCACAATATAACTAGCAGCAAAACCAGCAACAGTACCAGCACCACCAGCTACTGATGCTGCTGCTTCCGCCTCTGCTGCTGCTGCGGCGGCCAGTCGAGCAGCAATGGCGGCTTTAGAAGGGCGCCCTCTTGGTCTCCCCGTGTAAGGCGGCTTCCCCTTGCCCTTCTGCCTGCCCCTCTGCTTAGACTGCGCGTTTTTGTGCTTCCTGTTCCTTCCGCTCTGCGCGGACGCGCAGTGCTGCTTTCCCGCGCGAAAAAACCCGTTACAAGCTCGAACACGCGAGTGCCCCTGCTGCTCCCACTGTTCCTCCTCCTCTTCCTCTTCCTCCTCCTCCTCCTCCTCCTCCCCCACCTGCTCCTGCTCCCCCTCCTGCTCCTGCTGCTGCCGCCACTGCCGCCGCCGCCGCTGCTGCTGCTGGTCCTGGTCAGGCAAAAGTTGCTCGTCGCATTCGCGCTCTGGAGCGTACGCCTCCTCCGTCGGATGGAGCAGATCGTTCAGCAAATCAACGGTCCAGGTTCGCCCACGAACGAGGGGCCGGTGAGATCTTGGCCGTTTGCCAGGGATGGGGGAAAGCAAGAGGCGGTCAAGCGGCGAGGGGGAAGGGGAGGCGGAGGGAGCGCGGGCAGAAGGGGAGCGGGGGGAGCGGGACGGCGGGGAGCGGGGGGACGAAGGGGAGGGGAGAGAGTAGCAGGAGGAGTGCAGAGGAGCAAGGGTGGAGATAGGGCTACCGGAATACCCACAAATCGAATCTTTTCGAGCCACAGAAATCGCCATGGATCCGCCACTTCTCTTAACGTTGCCGTTGCCGTTATCACTGCCATAGCTCCCGCCCTTGGCGTTCCTCAGGAGGCCGGCGGCGCTGCTGTGAGACGCGCGCCTCGTCTTGCCCGCCACAGCCGCAGCGTGCGGGGGAGCGCGTGCGGAGGGGGCGGAAGCGCGCGGGGGGGCAGCAACGGAGGAAGGTTTGGCATGGGCGGAAGGGTGATGCGGTGGCATGGGCAGGAGCGAGGCCAGGTCGTCCGCGAAGAGCCCCGCGCCCAGCGCCAGCAAGCAATCGTCGCCCTGCGCGCGGAAGGGGAGGGGGGAAGGCGGGGGTGAGTGGGAGGCAAGAAACGGAGACAAGGGGGGACTTCGTCCGTGAAGAGCCCCGCGCCGAGCGCCAACAAGCAATCGTCTCCTTGCGCGCGGAAGGGGAGGGGAGAGGGGGCGCGGAAGGGAAGGGGAGAGGGGGCGCGGAAGAGAAGGAGAGAGGGGGCGCGGAAGGGAAGGGGAGAGGGGGCGCGGAAGGGAAGGGGAGAGGGGGCGCGGAAGGGAAGGGGAGAGGGGGCGCGGAAAGGGAAGGGAGGAGAATGTTGGCAAAACAAGACAACAAGGCAATTAATTACTCCTCTGCTTCTCTTGGGAACTTCAGCTCTCCAGCTCTTCAGAATTTTCCGTTGCGCCTCTAAGCTGAATCAGTAAAAGGCGCTCAGTCAAACCCCTCCAAAACCCTCCCACATCACATGTCACAAGTTTGCGTCACATGCAAAGGTAAATTGGCGTGACTCACGGCTCGGCTCGAATGGAGACGTGTCGAAGCTGGATTAGAAGCATCGATGTGCGAGTTCGCGACGGCAGGAAACACAGAAAATCATACAAATCCTCAATCAAAACGTGACGTGGCTCTGATTTTCGATTCTCATAGTTGTGTTCTTCAAGCCACAGCAACGCACCAGCAGTGACGTCAGCTTGTCGTCACACCAGCACGACGCACGCACACCAGAATGTCACACGCTCAAACAAAACGTCCCACGCTCACTCCAACATGTCGAATGCTCACACCAGCACGCCGCATCTTCTCACCAGCATGTCGAGCGCGTCGCCTTCGGACAGCATGTCGCACGCTCACACCAGAACGTCGCACGCTCACACCAGAACGTCGCACGCTCACCAACATTCGCACACTCACCAGCATGTCGATCGCGTCGCCTTCGGGCAGCATGTCCTCGAAATCCGCGAGGCAGCGCGTCTCCAACCCGTCCAGGCATCCCATGCCGTCCATCGGGTCAACGGAGTCAACGCCGTTCATTCGGTGAGCTGAGTCGCGACCCACGGGGTCAACGCGGTCAACGGGGTAGCCTGGGTGAGAGGAGCCCAACAGCTCAATGGGGCCCGCAATGTCGTCCGTAGGAATGGCAAGCAAGTCTTCCTCTCCTTCCTCCTCTGCCTCCTCCTCATCTCCCTCTTCTCTCTCCTCCCCTTCATCTTCCTCCTCTCCCTCTTCTCTCACATGTCTCTCCTCTTCCTCTTCATCCATCTGCTCGTCATCCCCCGCCTCCCCCTCCTCCGCCTCTTCCTCTTCCGCCTCCCCCTCCGCCACGCAATCTTGATGCTCCGATAGAGCTCCTTCTCTGTCCACGTCCACGTCAGCATGCTCCTCGTCCGCGTCGGCATCATTGCCGTCCGCATCCACCGATCGCTCTTTTTCTCGTTCCACACAAGTCCCATACGTCCACTCTCGCTCCTCTTCCCCGTCTCCCGCGTTTCCCGCGTCGCGCGAGTTTCCCGCGTCGTCAGGTTCTCGTTCCCCTCCTCTCGCTCCTCTCTCTCCCTCCGCTTCCTTCGCCTCGCGCACTTGAATTCCGTTTTCCGCGTCAGCTCGTGTCGCTTCGGATTCTTCTGCCGGACACGAAGCAGCGCCGATGTCGGGAGACTGCGAGGGCACCGCGGGAACGGTTTCCGCGTCGATACATTGCGAGTGCGATTGCGCAGCAGCAGTAGGCTGACGAGGGAACAGCCAGAGAAAGAGAACCAGAGAGACAGGGGGAAAGGGGAGAATAACAGGACGAGTTCAGTCAACAGCGGACAGATGGAGAAGGACAGGGGAGAGAGGCAAGGGACGAGGAACGCGGAACGCGGAACGGGCGGAGCAAGAAAGTCGGTCAGGAGGAGACAGCGGTTAACGAGTGAAGGCGTCGAACCCGCGGAACCCGAGCGCAGCGGAGAGTTACGATAGGCGGCCTGACTAGGACGGGAGACGGACGGGCGGATGGAACTCGGGAACAACGCTCGGGGAACGGGGATCGGGGGGAAGGCGCTTTCGGGGAACGGGGCTCGGGGGAACGGAGCTCGGCGGAACGGCGCTCGGGGTTACGTCGCCCTGGGAAACGGAACTAGGGGGAACGGCAGCGCTAGCGGAAGGGCAAAACCGTGTGCGCGACGAAAGAGCCAATAGTGTGCAGCCGAACTCCCGATTGGGAGCGCGACAGCTTAACAAGTGGTTTTTATATCGGAGAAATTGTGGCTCTGAGGTCAAGAAAGCACTAGGCAGCAGCAGAACTGATAAATTTTTCCCACGAAAGAAACGAAACGTCTATGCCACGCCGCGGCGGCACTGGTCACACGACGGCTGGTGTAGCGCAGACGATGCCTTAGCGAGTCTCGCGATTGAACTGGCCATTTGTAACTGGCGTAACTGGCCCAGAAAACGAACGGCGGCCGCCGAAGAATCGAGCTGAACAAGCCGCGACGCGATGGAGCTATTAACGAAGCTGAGAACACGTCAGCTCTCGCCCTACCGTTTTCTCGGTCTACGATCGCTCGGCCTACGTTGGATCGGCCTAGATTGGTTCGGCCTACCATTGGTCGCGTGGACTCGTTCTTAACGCTACTAAGAGCGTGAACCGTCACTAATAGGTCAACCAACCTGCTGCTCCGCACTTGACGGGTTTCTTGACCGCGACTCGGGACAGGAAACGGAGCGCGTGCCCCCATCCTCGTTCGTCAATCCAATCGTTCGTCCGTCAGTGAAGACGGCGAAATCAGACGGGCCGCCGTCGACGTTCGCAGCTCCCACCGGCGCAGCGACTGGTCTCCGCTGACACGCTGACTTCCCCAACGTTTCGTCGGCGAGAACGGTAACAGGAGCTTCGCACGTTTCGCGAAAGGTTTGACGCGCCAGAGGCCCGGCACCAGAAGGCTCTGGCGAATGGTCAAGCTTCTGCAGGGCTGCCGGACGCGGCTCCGACGTCATCGTTCCGAGAGACGCGCGCCTCGGGTGGAACGACTCGAGGGCCGTGACGCCTCGAGCGACGGGATCGACTGCGCGAAGTGGGGATGACGGAGCAGCCATGGCTGGTTCCGACGATGCGCGGTGCGCTTGGGCTCTTCAGACGCGCGCGACGGAAACGGAAAGGAGAATGACGGAGATTTTTTCGCAGAAAGGGGAGGGGAGTGGAGTAGGAGTTCCGACGGTGAAAGAAATAGTTAGCGGAAGAAAGGGAGAGAAGCAGGGAGAGTCAAGAAATTTGGACAGCCTGGTCCGGTGCAAGGGGAAGGGATGAATGAAGTGGGAACTGGGAACACAAGACGGCAGGAGGAATGGGCAACGACGGAAGCGGGGGGAGTAAGGGGTCCGCGCATAGTTTGATTCGAAAATCCGGCAGCCAGTTCGCAACTTGGAAAACTCGTGTGAGAGCGGAGCGGAATGGCTGATTGAAGAGTGACTGATGAAGGAGGATGAAAGAAAACGGGAGCGCACTGATGAAGGAGGAGAGAAGGGGGGAGGGGAAGGAAGATTCAGGCGGAGCAGCGCGGGCAGAAAGTATGAGCAAACGCGACCGCGGAGTGCGCAAAAGACTTTGTTAGAGGAAGTGGCGGAAGGGATATTGTGGGAAGGGAGGGCAGGAAGTGGGGTGGGTGGGGTGCATGGTTCGGTTGGTCAGCTTGGGGGATTTTGCTGGTGTGGGGGCAAGAGAAGGGACTTGGCGGGGAGTTCTGGGGGAGGGACAGTGACTTCGAGGGGAAGAGGTGGAAACGGTGGTTTGGCGTGACCGGCTGGTCTTCTTGAGGCGGAAGGATTGCTGTTTCTACTCCGCGCGCTTGTTTCCGCAACAGTAGGAGTACCGATGGAGCATGGTAGTTCTCTGCTCGCCTACACCGAGCCAGACTTGCGCACTTGTTACCTGCGCACTCCTGCCTTCCTCCGCAAGTTTTCCGCCGCGACGGTGGTGGCAGAAGCTGACGTTTCGCGCGTGCGCCTGGAGATCGGATCAATCAATGCTGTGTGGGACGGGGTGCGGCGAGGCGCTGCCACGCTGGTGCTGCCATGGCGCTCTCTGCTTGGCCATCCAGCCTCGGGGGCCTCGTGGCTTTGATCTCGAGGTATGCATCCCCCGTGCTGCTTGCGGGGATTCCGCGTGCCTACAACAAGTGCATTCTTTTCCGCCATCCGCCTGCGGGTAGCGGGAGCAGGCTAATCGTCTCCGCGGAGAAAAAGGTTCGGTCAAGCGGTTGTGACTTGGAATTTCGTAACTGAATGTCCTGTCGCGTGCGGAGATTCGAAGCTGACCAGCTACGCGGGCAGGGAGGGAAATTGAATCCACCAGTCAGAGCACCTGCTGCGTGAGGAAGGGGCACCGGCCACGCAGGCGTTGAATTTTTAGTGGGGGAAGTGAGAAGGTCGCAGGGAAATGTTTGGGTGGTTGGGTTCGGTGAAGCTGGTCCTGGCTTGGTGTGACTGTTTCCTGTCACACTGCTGACTCAGGTACAGAGCGAAACGGCCAAGTCATTGGATAATGTGCAAACCGCTCGAGCTTTTCCCCCTGATTTCGGGAACTCAAGTCATCGCCCCAGTGGAATATGCCGTAGTTTCGATGTCATTTTGGTTCGCACGAAATCGTTGACCTACCCAAAACTGTTCGCGTGTCGCCTCGCGGGACTTGTGCGCCCCAACCCCACCACCTCCTCTCCAACCTCCCTCCCAAGCTTCCCCCAACCCCCCTCCCTCTGCGCGCCCACACGCCCTCTTTCTTCCCCCACTTCGTCCCCGCCCAACTGGAGGGGCTGTGCCCGGTGGCAACAAGTGAACTCTGCGCAAGTCAAACAGAGAAGCCCACACAGCCTGAACCACGGGTCGGGGACAGTGGACCTTGAGGATCAGGTCGGCTCCCTGATTCGAGGGCCCTGCTGGACGAATGAGCAATCAATAAGCACGTAGACGAGCGATGTCCCCGAAGCTTTGCCCGTGACGGTGGATCCTCGGAAGCTGCGAGTGTGCCATAATGTCGCGAAATGCTGGGCGAGTATAGACGACACCTGACGAGCTTCGCATGACCCGTGTGGCATGAAACAACCTTGATATTTCAAGCACCAGAGATGACGCGCTGGGGCCAATCAGCAAACTGACGCCGAGTTCAATATAGAGAACCTCAGGAAACATATCATTAGTGCGCATGAACTGAAATGGACAAGAATACCGTCATACGTCTTCACAATGAGGCAAGGGGACACATTAGTTCAGAAGAAAATAGTCAAATGAAAAGTTGGTAAAATATCCAGGTCTCCTGTTCCTATTTCTGTTAGGTGCAATACAGATATCAACTCCAACAACCCGAAATACAGGTATTTTATAGTAATTTTTTTTCCACATCTGTAAATAAAAACTTCACATATATGTATAACAACATCAGAATGAAACGATGAATTTGTTATAAAACTAAGGAATTACGTGCATCTCTTCTTGCTGTTTCATCCTCACCACCTCCAACCACATAAAACGCTGTCAACCGCCATATGCACCAGTTTTCTCCAGCCACATAGCTTGTCACCACTTCTGCACACGTTTCCACCCTCGATCTTCCCGCATCTGTCACTGCGCAGAGCGACTGACCTTGATTTCTCCAAGAGCTTGTTGAATTGATGCATAGTCGCCGCTTCTGCCTGCTGCTTCCGTCACCAGCCAGTGACATGAACTCATTCATACTACGAATGATCGTTCTAGAATTCCTCCGCAATTCTCCCCCACGATCACTGCCATGATGTTGGTGTCCCGTTCGCTGCTCCTCCAGCCGCCACTCTGCTGCATCTGCCACTACTGCAGCTGCTTACCGTCTCTCGCATGCGACGAGTCTCTCGTCGACTGCACGGATTTATTTTGAGCGTTTAGAAAATCACTTCCCGTCTGTCGTCTCTCGCATTCGACGCATCCCCCGTCGATCGCACGGAATGACTCATGCGACGCGATAACGAAAGAAATGGCTCACGTCACGTCACGTATCGCGCATGATGTGCATTCCAGCCACTTTTGAGTCGACTCAAAAGAGTTGACTTTTGAGTCGACTCATCTGTCAACTCACGTCCCGCGCATAATGTCCATGCTAGCCACTGCGATCGCCTGCTGCTCCTAGAAACGACTACAACATAACATCTTCCCGTCCTAGTAACGGCTTTGCTGCAGCATGACGACTTCCCGCCTCTCGCACGCGCCGCCTCTCGCGACTAGCTGCTTCTGCCGCTGCTGCTGCTGCCGCTAGTAACGGCCCCAGCATGAATTCTTCTTCCCGCCTCTCGCGCGCGACACGTAATAATCGTTCATGAGTGACGCGTCACGGCCGCCATGCCCCCCAGCCGCCATTACTGGCTGCTGCCGCTTGCTAGTAACGGCTAGTCACGGCTATTAACGGCTGGTAACGGCTGGTCACGGCTGGTAACGACCTGGGTTCAGAAGAAACTCACGCGTCGCTGCCGCCATGCCTTCCAGCCGCCATTACTGGCTGCTGCTGCTCGCGGCGCTCGCAGCGCTCGCGTGCTGTTGGTGGGTCGTTCTCTTCCCGCTAGCCCTCTCCTCCTCTTCTATCGATTCGGGCCAGACTCGCGCTGTGTTACAGGACTCGCGATACGTCAACGAACTGTCGCGAAATTCGCTGCATTCGCGCGATTCGTTACAGCCGAAACGACAGCAGGTGGAACCAACGGAAGGCGACGAGGAGGAGGGGGGGCGGATCCGGCCGAGATCTGACGGTGGAGATTCGAGATTCGGGACCGTGGGTCCACGTCAGCAGCACTGCATTGTTATTGACGCGGGGAGCACGGGAACGCGGTTGTACGTGTACGAATGGGAGGGTGGAACAGACGGATGGAGAGGTGGAGGGACAGGTGGAGGGCAAGACAACAGGGGGAATGTGAGTGGCAGCAGAGAGACTGGGATCGGAATTATGAATCTTCCTGTGATTCGGCAGCACGAGCAGAAGGTTCAGCAAGAACCGTTTGGGTTTCAGCAGCAGCAGCGGCAGCAGCAGGGCCGACGAATAGGAGACTTCAAAACGCAGATTTCAAAGGAGACACAACAACCACAGCAGCAGCAGCAAAAGCGCGCATACAACAGAAAGGAAACCGAACCCGGGCTGGATAAGTTCCTGAACGACCCGCAAGGACTTCGTGAACGCGCCCTTGGTCCGCTCCTTGACTGGGCCCTGCAGGCCATTCCAAACCCCGCCGCCCGTGCCGCCACACCTGTGTTCCTCTTTGCTACAGCCGGGCTGAGGAAGCTTCCTGGTGAGGAGTCCGCATGGGTTCTGGAGGAAGTGAGAGAGGTTCTGAGTGGTTCGGGGTTTTGGTTTAAGAGGGAATGGGTGAGGATAATATCGGGTGTAGATGAGGCGGTTTATGGGTGGATCGCGCTGAATTACGTTGGGGGACGGTTTGGAGGAGTGGAGAGCGGTGAGAGGAGGAGATTGGTGGGTGGAGAGGGGTTATTGGAGGGGGGCGCAGAAGGGAAGGGGGAGAAGGAGGGCCAAGGAGAGGGGGGAAGGCTGGGAGAAGCGGAGAAGCAGGGAGAGATGGAGAAGCAGGGAGAGAAGGAGAAGCAGGGAGAGGGGAAGGAGAGGGATGCGAATGGGAGAGAAGGCGAAGGGAAAGCGAAGAGAAGGTTCCTACAGCAGGAAGGGTGGCAAGAGGGGCGGCAGGGGCAGCAGAAAGGGTGGCAAGAGGGGCGGCAGGGGCAGCAGGAAGGGTGGCAAGAGGGGCGGCAGGGGCAGCAGGAGAAGGAGGGAGAGGTGGAAGAGGAAAGGCAGGTGAAAGCGTTGCAGGGAGCAGGGGGGGTGGAGGAGCGGGAGGAGGGCGAAAAGTTGGGGGAGGAGAGGGAGGAGAAACGGGGGTTGCAAAGAAAGGGGGAGCAGGAGGAGGAGCAAGAGGCAAGGGGAGAGGCGGAAAGAGAGCGAATGGATGGGGGATTGGAAGGGGAGGACGAGGTGACTTTTGAGTTGACTCATAAGTCACCTCGGGAGTTGGGAAGAGATGGAATGGCGTGGGGATTGGAAGGGGAAGAAGAGGAGGCGGCAAGGCGACGGAGGGAGGAGGAAGAGAAGGACTTGGAGAGAGGCAAGAGGTTTATAGCTGCTGTGCAAGGAAATGGCGGGTGGGGCGGTCTGGAGGGGTTGACAAGCGATGGTGCAGGCGAGGTGCTGAAGGGTTTTTTTGAGAATTCTCAAAAAAACCCCACGAGCGATGGTGCAGGCGAGGTGCCAGGGGGATTGAGAGGTGAAGCGGAAGAAGAGGGGCTGGTGGGTTTGAGAGGTGAAGGGAAAGGCAGGGAGGAAGGGGGTTTGAAATCCGGGGCGCTTGCAAGGGGCAGGGGTGGAGGGGAGGGTAGAGGGGGGGTTGTGGAGGGGAAGGGTGAGGAGGAGAAGCTAGAGGGAGTTGTGGGGAGAAGGAAGACCCAAGAAGAGATGGAGGTGGAAGAAGGTTTGAGAGGCAAAGGACAAAATGGGGGGGAATGGGGTTTGAGAGTAACTGGGGGGGAGAGTGAGGAGGAGGAGGCAGATGGAGTTGTGGGGAGAAGAAAGACCCAGGAAGAGATAGAGGTGGAACCGGAGCGGAATGGGGAGAAGGACGAGGAGAGGGGAGAGGAGAGGGAAGGAGAGGGGAGTGAGGCAGCAGAGGGGGAAGGAGAGGAAGCAGTAGGGGAGACAGGAAAGGAAGCAGCAGCAGAAGAAGCAGCTGAGGAAGCTGCAGGAGAAGAAGCTGCAGAAGAAGCAGGAGAAGCAGCAGGAGAAACGGCAGGAGAAACGGCAGGAGAAACAACAGAGGAAACGATAGGGACGCTAGACCTGGGGGGATCCAGCCTGGAGGTCACGTTTGTGCCACGTGTCACGCCCTCATTGGGCACCTCATCAACCCCGTCACGATACCTAGCCAACGTGTCACTAGGCGGGCAGCATTTTAGCCTGTATGCACATTCCCATGAGGGTTATGGGATGAATGACGCTTTTGACCACTCTGTTGCTTATCTGTTGCATGAGGGAAAGGGGGAGGTCGAAGGTGGGAGAAAAGTGGGGGGTGGAGGAGGTGGGGAGGAGGTTCGGGAGGAGGTTCGGGAGGAGGTTCGGGAGGAGGATGGGGAGCATGACGGTGGGGGGGATGAGGGGGTGCAGAGCGGTGCAGAAGAGCTTGGGGGTGGGGGAGAGAAAATATCAGAGAGGTTGTTGGCTGGAAGTGGGACGGGGTCGGCCAATGCGGCTGTGACACGTGTCGCTCATCCGTGCCTCCATGCGGGATACAAAACGCTCCACACTGTGAGGAGAAAGTGGGCTGCTACTGACGTGGACGGGGCAGCAGTGGATGGGGCGGCAGGGGAATCCACCAATCAGACCACTCCAGTCAGTCAAAAGAATCCTGAGGTGGAGGTTTTCGGGCAGCCTAATTGGGCGGATTGTATGGCCCTTACTCGCTATGTGGTGGCCTCTGGTGTGAAGAACACAGCAGCAGCAGACACTGCTTCAGGCAGCAAGGGAAGACCAACAGCAGCGGTCAGTGTGGCATGTGGGATGGGAGGGGAAGGGGCGGACCCCCCTCCCTGTGCCCTGGGGGTGCACCAGCCGCCATTCAAGGGGCGCTTCTCCGCTCTTGCGGGATTCTACGTTGTGTCGCTCTTCTTTGGGGTTTTCCAAGAGCCGCTGCCCCTGCAGCAGCAGCAGCAGCAGCAGGAGCGACAGGAACAGGAACAGGATTTTGAGATTCAAAAGACATCCGCTAAACTGGGGTTGGGGCAGACGTTACGGGGCTCTATGGGCAGGCAAAGAGGTGCCGCCGGGCAGGCCGGGCAGCTGGATTTTTTCACCGACGGGCAGGCGGCCGCGCCCATCCCCCGCGGCAACACTTCAGCTGCCCTGAACGCAATTTTGACCCGCGGGCAGGCGTACTGCTTCCGACCATGGCCCGAAGTCCAGGCAAAATGGGGCGGCATAAAAGGTTTCGAGCAAAATTGTTTTCGGGCAGCTTATGTGGTGGTGCTGCTGAGGGAAGGGCTGGGGATAAAGGACGAGCAGGTGGATCTGGGGGAGGGTGTATCTGGGCAGGTGTCTTGGACTCTCGGTGCTGCTCTGTATGAAGGGGTGCCTGCTGTTGCTGCCCTTGCTTCCTCCTCTGTTGCTGCTGCTCGTGCTGCTTCTTCTGCTGTTGTCGATCGGGCTGCTTCCGCTTCAGGTGCTGCTGCTGCAGCCAGTGCCAACAGCAGTTCTGGACAGGTGGTATGGAAGCTTTGGGATGCAGACTCGGAACCTGGTTCGGAAGCAGGCTCGCAGGATGCAGCAGAAGAGGAGCCTGAAGAGGCAAGCAGGGAGGAAAGGGACGTGACAAATTCTCACAGTGAATTTGACACCACCACCAGCACCACCAGCAGCAGCAGCACCAGCAGCAACCGTGGCAGCATTGGCAGCAGAAGCAGCAGGGGTGGTTGGTGGTGGTGGGTTGGGAGAGGAGAGACCTTCACCTCCAGGGGCAAACCACAGTCACATCGGCGCTTCCTCGGAACCTTCCCTGCAACGAGCAGCGAGGGAGAGGGAGAGGGGGACAGGGACAAAGACAGTAGCAGCAGCAGCTTCCTCCTTCTTTTCCTTGTTGTCTTCTCTGTCGCTCTGGCGCTCACAGCAGCACACAGGAGAGGCAAGCGAGGTGGTAGACTTGCAGCAGGCATGGGCATGGGGACTGGAGTTCCCACGATCATGGGCATGGGGACGGGAATTCCCACAGGCATGGTCACGGGCACAGGGGGCATGCGGTGGGTGCAGCAGCTATCCAGGGCTCTTTTTCCTCCTCCTCTCTCTCTCCAAAGGCGACCAGCCCCGTGGTCTTCCCCCTCCAAGCATCGCTCTGGTGAGGTCCGTAGTCACCACCGCTCCCTCCCTTCCCTCACTTCCTTTCTTGCTTTCCAATGTCTAGGCGACTCAAAAATGTTCTCCCTCCAAGTCTCGCTCTGGTGAGGTCCGTCCGTAGTCACCAAGTTGACTTGAGTCGACGAAACAGTCAACTCTGCTTTCCATCTTCTAGGCGTCTCAAAAATGTTCTCCCTCCAAGTCTCGTTCTGGTGAGGTCCGTAGTCACCACCATCCCCTCCCTTCGTCTTCCTTCCCTCCCCTCCCTTCTTTTCCTGCTTTCCATTTTTGAGGCGCATCAATATTGTTCTCCCTGCTTTCCTCCCTCTGGTGAGGTCCGTACCGTAGTCACCACTCCCTCCCGTCCCTCTCTTCCCTCCCTTCCTTCCCTTCCCTGCTTCCCTCCCTCCCTTTCTCACCTGCTTCATTGTCCTCTTGTGATGACAAACCCACTTGTTCAGTGCCCTCTCCTCCTCCTCCGTACTTGCCGTGTTTTGAGTCGACTCAAAACACGACTGATTGTCCTCTTGTGCTTTCCCCGCTTGACTGTTCGGTTGTCCTCTTGTGCTTTCCCCGCTTGACTGTTCGGTTGTCCTCTTGTGCTTTCCCCGCTTGACTGTTCGGTTGTCCTCTTGTGCTTTCCCCGCTTGACTGTTCGGTTGTCCTCTTGTGCTGCCAAACCCACTTGGCCAGCGCTCTCTTCTCCTTCCCCGATCTTGCCTCTCTCTTCTGTTACCATGTTACCTGTCCCCGCTTCTCTCATTTGCTCTTTTCTCTGTTCTCTTTCTTCATAGTGCCCTTGGATACCTTCCAACTGGGGTGACTTCTGAGTCGACTCAAATATCAGCTCCTTTGCATTTTCCGTCCGTTCTCTTTGTTGCCAATCTCATGTTTATTCTAATTTCCTTCTCCAATCCCCCGTCCCTCCCGCGTCCCATCCCCCGTCCTCCCCTTCCCTCTGTCCCTCCAGGTGCTTGGTTCCTCCCCTTTCCTCGGGCCCCCCGCTTCCTCCTCTTCCTCTTCTCCCCCTTCTTCCGTCCCTCGCGTTCCTCTCAACCTTCCTCACTCCTTCCTTCTTCCCTTAGGCCGGGCGACGTAAGTCCTGGGATTCCCACTGGCAGCAGCAGCAGCACTAGAGGCAGCGGCAGCAGCACCAGTGGCGTCAGCGGCGGCGTCAGCAGTGCCAGCAGTAGCAGTAGCAGCAGCAGTGGGAGCAGTGGCGGCAGTAGGAGGCAGGGGCTGGTGCAGGGGGGCTTGACTCCCAAGCGGTCTGCTTCGTCGGTGCAGCGAATGAGGCCCGGCAGAAAGAGCTCGTCCGGCCTTAACCTATCTTCCGCATAATGCAACATCAGGGGAACATGGGACCTGAATCCTTTCACGTTTGCGTGAGCAACAGTCGCAGGAGAGAGTGGCTGGGCTGGTGCAGGGAAGGTTGACTTGACTCTCAAGCAGTCTGCCTCGCTGGTGCAGCGAATGCGGCCCCATGAAAGAGCTCGTCCGGCCTTAACCTATCCTCCACATGATTCAACATCAGGGGAATTCGCGCGAGCAACAGTGACAGGAGAGGGCTGCTGGGCTGGTGCAGGAAAGGTTGACTTGACTCCCAATCAGTCTGGGTCTGCCTCGTCGGTGCATCCAATGCTAGCATTAGCACCAGCAGCAGCAGTAGCAGCAGCGGCGGCGGCAGCAGGAGAGAGTGACTGGGCTGGTGCAGGGAAGGTTGACTTGACTCTCAAGCAGTCTGCCTCGTTGGTGCAGCGAATGTGGCCCCATGAAAGAGCTCGTCCGGCCTTAACCTATCCTCCACATGATTCAACATCAGGGGAATTCGCGCGAGCAACAGTGACAGGGAAGGTTGACTTGACTCTCAAGCAGTCTGCCTCGTCAGTGCAGCAAATGCGGCCCCATGAAAGTGCTGGACTGGCCTTAAAGCTCTAGGCCCAAATTGCACAAGATTACTAATCTTGCGTGCTTAGGGGTGGGTTTGGGAACATAAGCGTCGAGGGGAGTGTTGGGAAGGTGACCTGTCTGATTTCGCCTGTAACACTTTTTTTCTTTTTTTTTTTTCCGCTGAGTCAGCGAGCTTCACGGGGAGACGTGAGTTTGGGGACCTCAAGTCCCAAACTGCAGAGTAGTAAAACTCGATGTTTTGACAGTGAGTTCTGCTTCGACCAATCAGATTGCATCGCGCGCTCCTACTGTACCAAATTTTCGCCACACATCAGCACAGAAAACAAGAAGTGTGCAAGACTACTAATCTTGTCCTGCGCGGTCCGCAATTTGGGCCTTGGGCTTTAACCTATCCTCCACATGGTGCTGTGCGCAACTACGGCACTGGTATGATGGTATCAGCCCACGGTACTCTACCATAGACATTGTTTGCCCTCACAGTATAAATATAGAGATCATCGGCTCATACCGTATTCCCCCGGATATGAGACCCTAGGGTCTTATGCTAAATACCTAGAAAAAATCGAGGGGGTCTTAACAAAGGAAAAAAATATATAACACCCGGGTCTTTTCATATGGCATTATTTTTTTTCAGTGTTTTCAACACCAAAGTTAAAACTGAAGTTGTGGGTTTGCTTCTGGTGATCGCTTGACCAGTCGAAACGAATTCGCCCGTCGCAGCAATTTCGTCCCCCTGACGCAGCAATTTCTCCACCTGACGCAGCAAACTGGCCCCCCTGACCAGGCCCCACGTTATCAGGGCAAAACATCCTGATTGCCCTGAAATCAGGATGCAGTTTTGAATTTGCCCTGTGATTTCAGAATAGTGACAATTATAACCCTGTGGTCTCAGGATGTTGTTATATGAAATGCCCTGGACATTCAGGATGGCCGTGGTGTGCTTCCCTGAAGCGTCAGGATGAATGTCGAGGCTTTCCCTGACACGTCTCTCGAGGGGGGAAGGGGGGGGGGGGGGGGGGGGGGGGGGGGGGGGGGGGGGGGGGGGGGGGGAGTTATCGTTCCCGGGGAATTTTTTACCCACGGGTTATTTTTCCCCATGTCTTTTTCCGACCTTCGCGAGACGTTTTTGACAGATCCGATCCCCTGCAAAGCACCAGCCAAACCCGTCAGGTTGAAAACAAGTTGGGCTAGGCAACACGTTCGTCTGCTCGTGTGCCATGGATGCACCCCTCCAATGTTGCTGTTAGAGTAGCAATGGTGTTCTCTGGTCTAGTCTAGTAGTGTTCTCTACCCTGGATAAGTTACCAAGAGTAGGACAATGCTGGTGCCATTAGATGGGTTAAAAACAGAACCCTGAACACTCGTATTTTTGCCCTGGCAGGCCAGGATAAATTTATGCAGAAGCCCTGAAACCACAGGAAGCCTCTCAAAATTTGCCCTGACAAATCAGGGCATTTTTTCAGATTCTGGAAAGTTGCCCTGAGGCCTCAGGATGCCCCAAAACCTAGCACGGGCCCTGCCCCTGGCGCAGCAAATCAACCCCCTGACACGGGAATTTGCCCCCGAAAGCCGAATTCGCAGTATAGAATGCCTCAGTTTCAAGTGAATCAAATGAAAAGTACATGAAAAACCACTTTATAGGAGAAATGGGGGGGTCTTATATTGATCACCCCCAAAGGGGGGGTATAACGAAATCGAGGTTTAATAAAGTACCCCCCCCTTATTAGATACCCGGGGGTGTTGTATTTTGGGGGGGTCTTCTATCCGGGGGAATACGGTATCACATGTTGGAAACAAGTAATTCCTAAAGCGCCTCTGTCGTGTCGAAACATCACACCAGAAGCGAAGCAAGTCATATCGAGGCACGAGCGAGTCAACCCACGGAGGTTGAAAGAGGTTGCTGGAGGTTACGCGAAAGTCAAAGGTCAGCGACCCTTGACCTGACAAGTACAGCGCGACAGTTAAGGACACACAACTGACTCGTTACAGAGCAGTTGCCCGAGTCGTACTGTATCGAACCGCAACAGCAAATTAGTTACAACCGTGTCCTTTTGTATTCCTTGTACTACTATATATTATTGTATCTCTTTGCTATAATCAACTTACTTTGCTCTCACACACTAGTGCAAGGTGGTTCACCAATCTTCATTACACGCTTCCGCTATTACAATAGTTCTACCCCGAATTTACCCCTGCAAAAGATCCTAAGGGCTTTTCTTAGCCCAACATGGTATGAGAGCTGTCAGGGAAAATTCAACTACTATCAGATCATCAACAGACGACATGGCAACATACAAGGAGAGGAGTTCCTCTAATGGTTCTCCCGGGACTACTCCTACCCCACCTCCTGCCTCTGGCCTGCAGACAGAGGAAGGAACCACAACGGGACCATCAGCGCCTTCGGCCAGCCAGCCTGCCAACTTCGACCAGAGTATGATGGAGAAGTTCTTCTCCTTCATGTCGTTTTACGAGCAACACCAGCAGTCGGCACCTGCGCAGTCAAACAACAGCAACAACAACAACGTGACTCGAATGAGTCTTGATGGTTCATCATATGCGCGCGGGAATCAGCAACAACCTACCTTTGCTCCGTACGAACGCGGGTCCATCAGCTTCATGCCGCACCCGCAAGCCCCATCTGGACAAGAAAGACAACTAGATGCACTACAAGTACAGTCGCAATTTGCGCACGTCTTAAAGCTGCAGACGTCAAGGCCCTTCGACGGATAAGACTTCTTTACCTGGTCTTTCGAATTCGAACTGATGATGGAAGGCGCGCAGATACTTGGCTTCTTCGACGGGTCCCTGCCATACCCAACAAACGGCACACAGTATGAGAAGCAGCAGTACACATATCAGTCGATGATGGCGTACATGATCCTACTGAGAAACATCACCCCGACACAGCAACAGAACATACGGTCTTACCGGGGATTCGGCAACTTTGCGGAACTCGCGTACAAGCACCTCAAGGACTTGTATCAAGCAACAGACAGCGTCAGTCAAAGTCGGCTAATGGCACAACTGACAACAGCTGAAATGAAACCAGGCGAAAAGGGGATGGCATATGTCAGCCGATGTCGCGAACTGCGCGACAAGCTTCTTCGATGCGGAGGGTCAATCTCTGAAGACGCCTTCGTGACCGTCATCATCGGCGGCCTCGGTCCTCAATGGCGCGCAACCAAAGCCATTCTCCGAGCCCACGGAAGAATCTCCGAAGCCGCGCTCTGCGCCGAAATACATGCTGAGCAGCAAGACATGGACCTGCAAGAAGAACGACACAAGAGAAAAACATCAGTACCGGAATTCGCGTTCCACACTCAGCGACGATACAACAACAACAACAACCGACAACAACCAAAACCCGTACCTCCGTTCTGCCACATCTGCAAGACGTCTGGGCATCCACGCACACACTGCCCGAATCGACAACAGTCAACGCCACAACAGCGACAGCTTCGACCTTCAAGCAACCAAGTTGCTTCAACGCAAGTGAATCCCACGACCCAAATTCAAGCCCCAACACCGCCTGCGGGACAACCTGCGCAAGGAACAAGAAACATCGTCAGTTGTATGGCAAAACTGACCGACTCCTGCATCACCGAGTCACCACCTCACTACTCACCGGAAGAACAGATTGACAACAGCACGCCCCGCCGCGAGTTACTGCAGCCGAACCCGACGTACGCCGCTATCGCCCAGAGTGAACCATCTGGGAAGGACACATGCTTCTTGGACAGTTGCTGCGGACAACACATGTGTTCTTCAGGACGCTTCGTGCAACGAGAATACCAGCTTCAACGAGAAGTAGTTATCACCATCGCCAACAATCAGAACCTGCGCACATGACGACAAGGCGTAGTTCAACTTCAGTCACGAGAGACAAACGTCATACTGCAAATGACAAAGGTCTTAATAGCAGAAGGACTCGGCTACAACTTACTCAGCGTCAGTCAGTTGATGGCGAAAGGCATCCACCTCGAAGCAGACAGCACCGCTCAAGAGTTCAAGCTGTACCACGGGAAAGGCGGCCTCTACATCGGAAAGGCGATCCTCAAAAATAACGTCTTCGTTCTTGATTTCGTACCAGACCTTGGTACCGCTGACAGCGACGGCATCGTCAGCTTTGCTCCTTGGACACATCCTCCAGATCTTGACCCAGACTTCAGTCCCG